GTGACAGGAAGCCAAAGGGCTCATGCTGGTGGCAAATGCCCGGCCGAGTCCGTGCCAGAGAGTGACGTTTTGCGCAGGGTGCGTTCCAAACATGGATCCCAGAGACGTTGTGAGAACAGATGCCAACGCCGCCGGTTGAAGCAGGCGGGATCGATAAGTTATGCTTGTCATACAAATTTGAGCTCGCGTCGGCCTGAATTTCGGCGATAAACATGGACCCGGCAGCGACGAATTTCGAATCACACGTAACTTCACATCCCAGTGAACATCGGTCTCTGGGGCGTCTCGATGTCTGGTCGAGCTCGACTACGTGTTCGATGAATAGAAAGCAGCCACGTCGGCACTGGCAGCAGCGAGAGGCCGCCGCAGCACAGTGCGGACCGCCGCCAGCGGCAGCTCGCACTGACCGTCGTTTCGTTAGCGTTGCCCGACAGGTCGATCTTGCTCCATTCGGCAGTCGGGGTCACGTGGTCGGTACGAGATCACGTGACCGATGAACTCGCCGTTCATGGTGGAGGCATCGGGCGGCCTCCAGACCACCTCTATGGCGTCGGGCCCCGGGCTCAGGGTCTGGATGACCGTGGGCTTGCCACTGGGATCTGTCGAATGGCGGTGGGAGCGGGTTTTGAAATAGAACACGAACCCCTGGGGAAAGCGATGAGCTGCAGTGATCACTGGTTATCTGGGGCCTTTCATGCATCGGCTTACTTTGCTTCAAAGTAAATTGGACGGTCTGATGAGGTTAGGTTCTGGCATGTAAGGTATAGTTCATGTTATTAGAGATATGCAGAAAGCAGTGTCGAATCTCGAGCAGGTGCTGAGGCGATTTGTACTGAGGCAATCGCGGTGTTAGCATTTTTGGGGCCTTACCTGTCGAAGAGTTGAATAGTTTGATTCTGATAAAAATCAGTTTTCTCATAAAAAGACAGGTTATCTATTCATTGCCAAATAGCAACCGAGTGTTATGTTCCAAACGTTTCTGTGACATTTCAGTCCAGCGTTCGGATGTCTTGGACGTCGGCATTCTCAGAAGCTTCCGTCAGCATTCGCGACACTAGCTAATACGACAATCACCGGCTGCTGGTGGAGCGGTCACTCACGTTCTCGGTGCGTGACCATGGGGTATGAGGGCTCGCTGGGCTCGCTCCTGCCCACCCTGTTGACGGAGAACACTCGGAAGCTGTAGGCGGTGAACGGCAGCAGGTCGGTGACGTTGAACATGGTGGTGATGGCTGGAATCTCCAGCTCATGCGTCTGGTCCCAAGGACCCGCGGATCAAATACCCTGAAAAAACGCACGTAACATCCGTAAAACCGGGGCTCGCGATCTAATCGTATGGTTCTGAAGCACAGACAATGGTTTGCCGAGCTGGCTTAGGCTCTAACCATCAAAGATTTCAGGTATGATGGATGTACGACGTCAACTTGCAGATTATTACGTCATCTTCAGACGTGCTTCGTAAGCAGCACGGCCATACGCGAGATGGAATAGCCATATATTATTGTACTATGCAGAGGCCTATTGTGTATGGTAAACATGCATCACACATGCATTGTAAGCAGCACGGCAAAATAAATGCAATGAAACTGATAACAAGTTGCAACACTATGCGATCGTCTCAAGACGTGACGTACCGAATTGGGCAGCATCAGTGTCAGCCTACCATCTATCTTGCAACACCAGCAAACAATATCAACAGTTGAACCATCTTACCGCTGCAGATAGTTCTGTTCAAGATGACATCCAGGCAAAATCAAACATTTTCAAACAACTGGCCGCAAAAAATCGCACACCCAACGTGTGCGTGGCAACGAACACCATACAGGCACTGCAACTTGTAAGCATACACCCCTCCAGCCTGCTCTGGTCCCGGGGACACATCACCGTCTGACCTTCTCCGGCCTGACGTACCTCTTCTGCAGGACATAGCTGAGCGGCGGCGTGTCCGTCTCCGAGTAGCGGGGCGCCCAGGAGAGCTCGCCGAGCGCGAGGTGAACCCCACCACGAGGGGCCGCTGCGGCGCCGGCGGCACGTCTGCGGCAGGGCGCCAGGATACGGTATCAGTCACCGGGGCGGGCAGCATGCAGGGAAGCGCGCGTCGACACGGCCTGGACCCGCACTGCGTGCACGGCTGGACTGGCCGCGAGAGCGGCACGTCTGCCGGCCCGCTGCCGCGCGGAACGCACCGTCGCAGGGCCGAGGCGCCCGCCCGCCGAGCTGCTGGTAGGACATCGTGAATGGACATGTGACACAATGTCCAGCTCGGGCGGTATGATTCGGCCGCAGGTGTCCCCCGGCTCGGCCGCGAGGTCAGCCCCATCCGGCCAGCCGCGCCGATGCGCGACTCACGAGTCAAGGTTAACCCGACTCTGCCAGCCCGCGGCCGATGCGCGACTCAGAGTCAAGGTTAACCCGACTCTGCCAGCCCGCGCCGATGCGCGACTCAGAGTCAAGGTTAACCCGACTCTGCCAGCCCGCGGCCGACGCGACTCAGAGTCAAGGTCCCGCTCGGCCAGCCCGCGGCCGATGCACGACTCAGAGTCAAAGTCCTCCCGACTCAGCCTCGCAGACGCGCGGGCCCTAACCGGAGGCTTATCCGCGGAACCGCCGGCCGGTCCAGCGGCCATTAATACTGCGGACAGGCGGGCGCGTGCACCGAAGGTCCTCCGCCGCCGGTGCAATCCTCTTACCACTCGCACCGGGGGCCCCGCCGAGAGCGCGCCCTTTGGTTCGGCGCGCAGGCCGTCTCCAGGCGGCCATTCGGCTTTGGTTATCAGCCGCCCCCCGCGGGCGCGAGGCATGTGAGTGTGCGTACCACCGCCAGTGATTGTGAGTTATGGTAGGCTGGTGCCACACAGGCAGCTCAGATACTGCTGTCACAGGACACGAGGCAGTGCATGTGCAAGGTGGGGGCTCATTTACATTGGTCCAACTGCACTAAAATATGGGACCCATAATGCATCGAAAGTGCAAGTCTATAAATACACTGAAAGCCCGTTCAGTCCTTTGCAAACATAATCACCATGATATTAATCACGAACGTATGACCATGAAAAAGAGAAGAGCAGTCATCACAAATGAATGCAAGGGACTAGTATCAGCTGTGCATGATAATGAACAGCGGACTTGGTTAGCTCGGAGCATGAATTGACATTTTAACATGTTTACCTTATGGCTCAAAAATGTTGGCGAGAGCTGCCACCAGCACAAGCATCACTTCAAGCTGGGTCGCATTCTAGGCCGGGCCTACTTCAAGCTCAACTGCTGCCATAAGGACACGTTGTGTGGTGGTCAGCCAGAGAGCATATGTTTCCAAATCCCAAACAAATACGCCCCATTGCGCTATTGCTGGGCTTTGGCGCTATTGCCACTATTGAAATTTAGCTCCTGCCCTGAAGTGTTGGTCTGTGGGAATTCGCTAGTCCGTAATGAACTGAATAATGCCGTAACAACGAGAATAATGAATTGCCAAAAAAAGTCTTAATAACACATCGAAAGCTCTAATTATCCATAAAGCCGCAAGTTGCCACAGGTGGACAGATCCAAATCCAATTTTGACGTGCAAATAGTATGTGTTGGTAGTGATGAGCAGGCAGTCCGATAGCAGGGCTCCGTGAAAATCCCTATTTGGGCTTGAAAATGTGAGCTAATAGGGATGATTTCGAGAGGATAGTTCTGCAATTAGAATGTGACGCCAATCTGGATGCACAAGTGTGTGGTCCAATCACGACATCAAGGATGATGCTCTCCGTTCACTTCTGAGCGGCACTCTGCACACATCTTGACGTTTCGTTTATTGTTTGTACCGAGGACGGACGTGATATCGACCCGCACTAACGAGCTTGACGATATCCCATGGTCACAAATGGGAGCATTCAACACATCCTAAGCCGCTAACCCGTGTACGCGATCGCGTACCGCTGTCATGCCGCGACGATACGGGCCATGGGACGTCATGGTATGCAACTTCCGGCTGGTCGTGCAAAGGCCCCAGAAGAACTGTGGGCGAGGCTCAATTAACATTTTACACGGTGTTTCTTTGTCGTTTCGTCAGGCTGCGCGGTTTCTTTAAGCGAGCTGCGCGTCGGTCACCGCGGAGCCAACCTGCATGTGTGAGAGGCGATCATTATCAGGAGATACGCACTGCAGCAGTCTGAGCCTGCGGAGCGAGCCGTGATTGACAAGATCTGGCATCGCGCTGTCGTCCCTGAAGTGTTATGGACGAGGTATCTTTCGCACTCTAAGTGGCAAACTTGGCCGTCACCCTCTGGAAAGAGCGCTACCCGTCACGTGATGACAAAAGTTCCGGCGTCTGGACAGCTCCGATGACGCAAATCGAATTAATCAACGGACAACGGCGACGGAAGAAGAGTTATACTCTCCAAATATCCAGCAAAATAAGACTCGCCCAGTGTGAAACAGGGAAAATACGAGTGACACACAATGCACCAAGAAGCCGAGCTCAGTATTAGAAAAGTCACACAAATAAAAAGGTCACAAAATCAGGAGGGTGGTTTCTTATTGAGTTAAATGGCTTTATCCTCCCCCGCCCTCTCCCCTTCAACATGGGCCTCGGGCCCTGAAAATAGACTGGGCCAAATTCACGACGAAGCCATTTTGCTGGTGCATTTTGGGGCAGATTTCGCCATTTTGTCACTGTTTAGCCCCCGCGAACTCATTTTGGGAAACTACGCCCTTGATCGCATCAATCCAGCTTTAAATTGCTCGCAAACTTTCTTCGTGCCACAAGCATCATGCAACTGAGTGCACTTCCCACAATTTGTAACGTTGGAAGTAAACGCACATAGCTTTTCTTACGGGGATAAAACACAGCCAGAGACATGTTTTTGATTTAGCTTAGGAAAAACGTACCACGACCTCTCGGCTGTCTAAAGGCGGGTAACTTTAGCGAAAGTTACACCCATCCAACATGTGCAAAACAGTGCATTACACAGCTAGCACCGGAACCGTAAAACCACCAACTAAAGCTAAACAAAGCCAGCGGGAGGCATTTTACGTTCTTCAGCAGCGAACCAATGACAACAATTTCGTGTGCGACTTCTATCCTGTTTATGCGACGTTGTCAGTGGCCGAACGACTCGGATATATCCCAAAGGAGATTTGGCGCAAGCCGAGAGCTGAACCAAATTTGGTGCGATGGCTTTACGATGTCGTAACGGAGGAGATGGCCCCGCCCGGACCCGGCCGTTTTTATGTCAGATACTCAGACTGTAGCGGGGGCTCTGGCAAAAAGTGACAGATGCGTTTGGCGCCATATGCAGCATAACAAAGCGGACCTGCAGGCGCTACATTAGGCTTATGTGCTTGGAAGAGAACACAGCTTCTGTGCACAAATCAACGCCATTATATTTTTATCCACAAAGACAAAAGTATAGATTTCGCTGGGTATGAGCAGAGACATGCTTTGTGGAGCCTGAGAACCCAACAATTTAATATTTTGGCGTTGGGCCTGTAGCCACGCGTGAAAAGGACATCGAAAAGTTCAAAGTTACTGTTGGAGCCGTCTCCAAACATTTTTGGGAAGTTGTGTCCTGAGATGATCATATTAGCGGCCCCTAACAGGAACGACAGAAGAATGCTCTTCGCTATTGCTGACGCAAAAATTCCCGAAATAGCACGATGCTGCCTTGTTATCCCACAGACGCCCGAGTCACACGTGTCGCCCCTATTAGGCGAGATTACAAGGGATTCGCAGTGATTGATCACATGCATAACCTTTCAGCGCACGCCTTTATCCCAGGGCTGGCAGCCGGGCGCTATTCCTGCTAAAAGGCTCGTATAGTCGGTGACGGAACGTCTCTCCGAAACCGACGCGAGCACACATCTTGCCGCGAAGGACCGAAAGAAGCGCGTGGCCGTGGTTCCCGCACACACACACACCTGTAAACTGGTCATGAAAGCTGTCATGAATGTGCGTCGAACATATGATCGCGGACATGCGACCAGTCTTCGTGATCTCCCAGCCATACACACGCGGGCTCACCCCTCACCCCCACCAACCAGCTCCGTGCCGGGGCGCGAGTGGAGGACGCGCCACGACAGCCAACCCGCGCCCCTCCGCCGGCCGGCCGCCGCCAGCGACAGCCGCGCCCAGATGCCGCATTCGGCGCCGGCGTGTTTCCCGCATTCGGTGCAGTTGTACAGGTGTAGGCGCCACCTGCGCCGCCGCCGGGGCGCCCGGGCACGTGACGCCCTACGGCGCCGTGCGCCCCTGACACGGCTCGGGCGGGCGGCGCCGGAGACCGTGTATTACCGGCGCGGCGGCGGCGGCGGCGGCGGCGGCGGCAGCGGCGGCGCAGGCGGGCGCCAGGAATGCACGCCGCGCGGGCGGAGGAGGGGGGGGGGAGGGGGGTCGGCCGTCGGCTGTTCTCTTCCGGGTCCTCTGCGTCGGTGCATTCCGGCCTGTCGGGAGGCCTTTCCGCCCTGTCATCGCGCCAAGTCTCCATGCGTGTTTACATTGTCGCTGGCGGTACCTCTGTCGGTGAGCTGGATCCTGGGCAGGTCAGGCCGGGGACAGAGTCGGCGATCACTCCTGAGTGGGCTGGATCGCCAGCCTGTTCCCTGCAGCTTCAAGGTGGCTGTTCACAGCGCCACGCTCGTTTTGTGCAGCGCGGGAGTGGGATCCGTGTTTTTGACGGCGTGAATGTCAGATGTTACCAGGAACTGCACCAGGAGCCAGGATATGGCCGTGTGTGTCACCGCAAGAGGCGTGGTGTGGCTGTGCGGTAGATTTCGGCGGTGCGTAAAACAACTCAGAGTTGTCTAGCTCACAGCGCTGGACAATTTTCCCCACATCTAGGGGCATTCGTGACTGTCCAATCCAGCACTCGTCGCGGATAATATCTTTGGTGAACCCCAGCCTAAAATCATCCGGTTCAAATGTTTCAAATACGCCCGTATCGAATTAATCGCGCATCAATCGTGCCATTAGTTTGGTATTTAGATTTTGGGAAACATCATCCACTAATACAGGGATATTTACAAAGCAAACACCGCGAAGTGTTCCCATATTTCCAACTGAAGAACATTGGGACAACCGATCCCATCCGCTATTCGAAATGACCTGCGGGGAAACACGCACAGCACAGCTGGCAGTACGACTCACAGTGCTCCAAACATGTCACCCAGTCCGCTCCCAAACCATTCACCAACTCCTGTCGGCAGGACGGGCAACTTTACCGAGCGGGTGAGCGTGTCACGCCCGCGCGCCACGCGAGGCACCCCACGACGTTCAGCACCACGCTGATCGGCTCGGCAGCAGCAGTAAAGTCATGTAGTTATTTGTATTTGTAGTATTGGGTGTATTTTCAGCGCTCGGCCTCCGAGGCCGGGACCTATCTGATTCGATTCATTGCTGCAACTAGAACACAAACGCAATGCCCATAAGCTGCGGTGCACCACACCTAGGTGAGACGAGTCACCTTTTTTGGCCGCAAAATCGCCCACACTCGGTGCGGTAACGCCACAAGGGCGCACAAGTGCGCATACCACCAGATGTGAGCTCGTGGCGCAAGCGGAGGGTGCAGGTGTGCCACGACACCCGCCGCAGCGTTCCAGACGCAGGTTTTCACGGAATCGGGGCAAAACGTGACTCATCAATGCCCCCTTCCCCGCCCACCGCGCAGGCGAGCATAGAATCGACGCGATGCGAAGTGAAAATCGCCTATTTGACCTTCTCAGCTGTATAGTTTAGGAGCTGTCAGGAACAAGGCCTTGGCGGCGAACATTCGGTGGGTGAAACGACAAACTCAAACTCCCTTCTGCTGAAATCAGCACCATGAGGAAGCCGTGCCATGCAGACACCACTCCGCGCGTTGCATCCGGCGGTATAGGCGGTGCGCGGTTTCAGCCCATTACACTAGGGAAACTGTTTATCTGGACCCCCTCGAGCCTCAGAACTGACATCCCTGTGCAGGTCTTAAGCATCACTTTACATGCAGGCATGCCCTGCTCCGCACCGTCCGATGTAGCCGTCCGGGCTCGGCTACATGAATGTGTTATTCAGGTTGCTGCCGCTCAGAGCCATCAGACTGATTTGCTGCTTAGCCTGCCTTGGAATCGCCGCCCGCACGCCCCAGCTTCCTGCTGGGTATGCACATCAAGTTCACAAGCCGGGGTTCGCATGTATGTTAGCCAATGGCAATTCCTCTCGTGGAGATATGTCAATATTATACGTGACCGGTCACGCCACGAGATGCCTCAAGGGGCAGATAGCCGGCATTTTTATACCCGTGGAGGTGAATCACGTATTGCGCAAGATTAATACAACCTGCGCTTTTTACATATCACAATAGGTATTTATTCCCATGCACTTTAGATGTAATAATGTATACGCCAACAAACACAATTTATGGCTGGCGGCTGGTGTCAACACCCTTGGCACGTGGGACATAGTGTCATTCTGTCTAGTTGTTCCGCAATGGCAAACACCTTTTCAGCGATCATCTTAACACGTCCGCATCACCATAGAGACACTGTAACCAGTCTTCACATGATGTACATGATTCCGAAGGTGGACTACCTCTTATTACCCTTACCCTAGCTTCCGGCCACAAACAAGTGGCGATGGTAAGCCATCGCCTCAATGACTAAAACTGCTGAGGCTATTTTCCCTCATGATGTTCAGGCCGCCGACCGCTCGGGCACATTTCATACCCTCCCCCATGCTGCCACACCTGGAGGTCACGCCGCCGCCGCCACTCACCTTCGACGACCACGGTGACGGCCTGCGTGGCAGGCGCATCGTTGACGGTGCACTCATAGACGCCGGCGTCGGCGGCGCGGACTGGGTAGATCTGCAGCTGGAACGTGGGCAGCACGAGCCGGGCGCGCTCCTCGGAGCGGCTGATGGTGCCGTCCGGGCCGTAGCGGGCCACCGTCAGCGGCTCCTGCGCGCCCCGGCCGCCGCCGCCGCCGCCGCCGCCGCCGCCGCCACAGCCGCGACACCGCCAGGTCACCGTCGCCCGGCCGACCGCCTCCGAATGACGCGGACACGAGAGCGTCAGGTTCGAGCCCGCCAGCACTGTCTTCGTGTTGCCCCCGGCTGCAACGGAGCGAGGCACGCGTCAGCAGGGAGGGAATGGAGAGCAGGGCAGGTCAGACGGTGGAATCATGCCGGCAATACGCGGCAGCCGCGACCTCGGAGTGCAGCCGGGTCATGACGCATGCCTCGCGGCGGTCGGTAGGAGTGCCGTGCAGGAAGGCCAGATATTTTCGGGCTGACCACGCTGACAGACGCTGATCGATGTGGTTCGCACGGTGGCACGACTTCCTTCCCAACTTTCCGCTTCTGGCCAGCCAGGTAAATTGCTTGATAATAAAAATATCGATATTTTCCAGTCTGGCTCGAGGATAAAATCACTGCCATTCTCCGTCCATTGTTTCGTGACTTGGAGGCTGTTGATAGTATCGTGCTATCGAAGGTCTGATAATGACCGCTGATCAAACTGGCATGCTGTGTAGCGTTTAAGAGGCCGATGCCCAAGCAGGTGCGTACCTCATTTGCAGATAAACATTGTGATCGCAGTGAAAAACATTGTCAGGTCATTGCAACAGTGCTTTTTTTTTAGTAAACAGGAGGCAAAGAGATTTCGCTGTTTAAAGCGAGGCGCGGGCAAAGACGAAGCGAATCTTTGCTCCGAGCCGCTGGGTAAGTCTTGAGCTGCAGCTCCTTTAACGCATAAATGGTCAGAGCAAAACACAGTCTATGGTGCGGAACTGAAGCCGTCGCGACCGCCGAACGTCCGTGCGCTAGTCCAAAGAGGAAAACACGCATGCGAATGCGTGCTGCACACCAAATTGGAGCATGCACGACGCACTGTGCGTACTTACATATATACATATATACACTATCCAAAAATATGTTCGTAATTAACCAATCGATACAAACATTTTAAATGCATGTCTTCTAAGCCTTCCAGATCCTGACTGTTGATAGCTTCCTCCATGTTTCACAGCCTTTCCAACACATTCGAACAAAAAAGCTGGGACAAATACCAACCGACTTGTCTCCAAAGATGATGCTAGAAAACCGAAAAAAAACTGTTCATTGCGATGTGTTTCACGGAAGAATGTCGGAACAGATTCCATTGTTGCGGCCATTTATTTTCGTTTTCCTCACAGCGTGGCATGCCCTGAAGGAAATTGCCCTTTTGGACATGCAATTTAGAGCAATGCAGCTGACCCACGGGACCATCGCATTTTAATCTTGGTTACTTTCAGGTCGGGCTGATACTGAATGAGCTTGACTGCGCGTTTCGCACGAAACGTTTGATCATATCGTGGGACTTGAGTGTTCGAAGTGGGATTGCACTCCGTTCATCGTTGTTATATCCAGCACCCGCTCTCTCTACACCCATCTATCCGTCCCCCTGTACCCAGCTGTATCGAACGTTGGTTTTCTCCTCAACATTATGGGGACATGTCAACGCCACAATCCGCCAGAACATCGCCCCGGGGTCTCCGGAGCACCACGAACGCCTCGTAGTCCGACAGTACACCAGTTTTAATAAAGTGCGGAAGTTGCACAGGCTTTCCAGGAAACAGCTTGTATCCAAGCCAGGGCGGTGTCTGTGATGAGCACTGGTTGCGTTTTCTGTTGCGGGGCACCTTCAGTCCCCGACAAAGCATTATATATTAAAATTGCTCTCTCGGCCACTTCTCACAAGCACCGCTAGCGCTAACACACAAGCGATAACGCTAGTTGTTCCTTCAGCATCGGCCAGCCATCTCGAACGCTCGTCGGCACCCGCACGCGGCCGGCTGCGTCGGTCACAGCCTGCACGCTCTGCACCCCACGGCGGTTAACTAGCTAATGGCCGCGGCCAGTTCTCTGCAGCGCCACGCCGCCCGTCGCCGCACGCTCAGGCCGCGGCCGAGGCGTGTCTCACGCACGCGTGACACCGCCGTCAGCACCGGCGGCCGCGTCAGGCCCGGCCCGGGCGGCGGCCAGCTGGCCGGCCGGACGCGTCGCGTGACGCTGCGCGCGTAAATACACGCTAGGGGTAAGTGAAATGACTGGGGTGCTGATAGGGAGAAATTAGGCGTCCACACGACCGGCCGGGGAGGGTCCAGCGCTTAGGGCGTGCTTTGCCTAACAAGGCAGTCGTGACGGGCCTGGTTAGAGGGTGCGCTGCAGTGTGCACGCTGGGGTTTGGGTAAATGAACTCAAATTGCGAGTTATCACGAACTTAATATAGGCTCACCTTCGTTAGCAGTGAAGAAAGATGGATATCTATCACGGAAATGCATAGAATGCCTGGGCCATAGAGGGGACCATGTGACGGCACTACGGAAAAGTGCGGGGTGATGTACAGAAGCGTCAAACATCTTCAAACATCTTCATCTTCTCGCCTTCAGCACTATATTCGTGCGGTGATGTGAGGCCGGGGCCCAAATGACCGGAGCGGCGCGCGGGAGCGGAGTTCCCCCGTTCCGCGGGTGACGCAGCATGCAGCGGATGCCAACAGCGGCGCTTCGGAGCGGTGCCAGGGACGGCACGCCGACCCCTGACGCCCGCTTCACGCCGCCAGCATAGCCGGCATTCTGCGGCCGAGTGGGCCAGCTCGGCTGTCAGTGGCGTGATGTCACTGGGACGCGACCCCACACCGAGGCGGAGGGGAGCGAGCGCACACCTCCTCTTTTGGACAGCGCGGGCGCGCGGGGTAAACCGCGGTCACCGCCGCTCTTCCGTACCAACTAAAAGCACATTGAGCACTTATCTGTTTCAGCATGGGTTCTGGATGTTGCAACAGCAGCCATTGCAGAATTCGCATCGCGCCCACGACAGCATAACCTTCAAACGGCATAAACGGACCTTCAAACGGCACAGAAAGGTTGCTGAAGTCAGGTCATAGAAGAATTGCAGAAGGAGGCTGCGGTAATGATTTCGACCAGCTGACTCTCTGACCCGACCCCTAAATAGCCGCAGGGCGCGGCTGCCGGTAACGCCATGTGAGCCCGGCATTCTCCCGCCTCACATTCCCCTCAACCCCAGCACAATAGCCGCTCAACCTCGCTCAGACAAGAATGGCGCGGGAGAGTGATGTCCCGTCCCGCGGCATGTGAGAAGTGAAAAATGGGGCTTCGCTGATGCAGACCAGAAGCGGTTCGGTGTAGCAGGATGCCGGCTGGGGGCCGTACTTAATCCTGGGCCACTCTGCGAGAAATGCGGCGCCGCGGCCTGGCAGGCGGCCACGCCGGCCGGCCGCGTGTTGTGACAGAGCCGCCGCCTGACTCAAGCCTCAAAGACGGCCGGACGGGAGCAGAAGACTGGACGCGTCCCAAGATGTTCAGGCATTTGTAGTGCCAGCATAACGAGTGCCCGCCGGCCACGCTCCGGCGCTGCCCATCGCTGGCTTGGCCGGTGTCGGCAGCGGAGCTGAGCATCCCGATTCGGAGAAGCTGAATATTTTAACAAATATTCAGATTCCGCGAATATTGAAACACCGAAATTTGCGGGCAAATTTTCCGAACAGTAAAGAGCACGATGAAAACAAAACAGTGTAAGAAGGCATAGCGATAGCCACGGATCTCATGAGCAGGTTACCTTGAGGTCTCTATGATCGAGGGGACTCGACCGGGACGGGACTCGACCGGGACGGGACTCGACCGGGACGGGACTCGACCGGGACGGGACTCGACCGGGACGGGACTCGTCGGCCATCGACACCGGGTCCGTATGCCAGAGAATGAACTGAACCACAATGCTACAGCGAACTTTGATAAAAACCGCGATGGAAGCCGTTCATACACATTTCTGTGTTAAGACCAAAGACGTGTTATGCGAACAATTTCCTGAGATTCATGAGGACGACTGCCTAGCATTGACCTGTTTATCTGCTTATATGTAATATGACAGTTCACGTTCGGCATCTGAATATATGAACACAACACTGAAATATACCTACCCGAGCATTCGACTACCAACACCAAACCGAATACCTAGCTGTAGTCACGAGGGGCACTGCACGGTACGTGAGCTGACACCACGCGACGCCGTGTCCTGACCCCCTCCCACAACGAAATCCCCCCCTCCCCCCCCCCCCCCCCGCTGTCGTGTCCCTATCCATCGTGGGCCGCTCCCGCCCTCGCAGCTGCGCTGCGTACTACATGGGATGGCGCGGACTGCATCCCCAAAGTGCAGTGCATGACAAGAACAGCCGACTGCAAGTCCGCGCTAGAGGAAGTCCAGGCGGACGCAGACTGCACCGCCGCAGCCTGGCGGAGCCGGAGCCATGCGCCGATTGCAGCCCCGTAATGCAGCGGAAGTCCGGGCGGGCGCGGACTGCACCGCCGCGGCGTGGCGGAGCCGGGGCCGGGCGCCGACTGCATCTCCGGAATGTAGCGGAAGTCCAGGCGGGCGCAGACTGCACCGCCGCGGCCTGGCGGAGCCGGAGCCGGGCACCGACTGCAGCCCCGGAATGTAACGGAAGTCCAGGCGGGAGGGCCGTAAGCCCGGTCGTCAATCTGCACTGCCGTCACTACTCATTCAACCAAAACGGCATGCAAATCTGCAGCCAATCGGTCGAGTGCGGCGTCCTAGCCGGACCGACTCCGCAACATTTACCGTTTATGAACAGCCAAGCCAAGGTTTGGCTACCAGTAGGTACGTTTGCCCCTTCCTATTTCAGTAAAACGTTCGCCAGCTCAGTCGCGTTTCCATCCCATTTCCATTGCGATTCCCTTTACCGTTATCTCACATCCACCCCTTTCTTTCTCTTGGATGATGTAAGGCTGGCATCTGGCGTGCAAAAATAAATCACTATTGATTGGATATGGCGTGAGGACGACATATCCACCCGTTCGGCCCGTCTGGGTAATAACGAGGCGCTCGCGCAACGGCGGGCGGGGCCGTGCGGCATCCATGCAGAAAGGAGCGACCAGATGGAACAGAAGACGCAGACGAACAACAAGGGCAAGGGACGGCCGGCGCGCAGGAACACCGGTCTGCGCGGCAGTTGGTTGTCGTTCCGCTCCACAACGAAAATAGATTGGAAAAACTCCATCCTGTGGCTCGCCTCCCCATCGCGTCGGTAAGCCACA